TTCCCTCTGCCTTCCAAGTAGTGAGTCACAGGAAACTGAGAGAAAATCTAGAAGAAAAGTCCCCAAAAGATTTTTGAATACAAATTATTTACTAATGTGTATTTTCTCCGAGGAACTAAAGTAACTCATTTGGTGTTAAGTTTGCCACCCCATATATTTTAGGCCTTGTGTCTTTATGTCTTAAATACTGTCACTGAGCCAGACGTCATAGCTCATGCATGTACTTCGGCATTCCTGCTAAGGCAGAAAAATTGCCACAGATTCAACACTAGCCTGGGTAAGACCCTATCACATACACACACACACACAGAGCACGGGGGTGTGGGGGGGTGGGATGATGGGGTACAAATCACTGAAATGGTGTTCCGTGGTCGAATGTGTGACATATCACCCCTAAGTCCCATTCAACTTAATGTAACAATGGTTCTTCCATCTCCGACAGGCCGTTCCCGCAGAAGGGCTGGTGTCCATATTAAAGAAGAGGAATGACACAATAGGGGACCACCCTGCCCAAATGCAGCAGAAGCCAGCTAAGCGGAGAGTGCGATTCCAGGAAATAGATGATAGCCTGGATCAAGGTGCGCTCAGCCCCGGGTCTGCAGGGGTCACCATCAGTGGGTGCTGCTGGATAGTCAGTGTGACAGGATGCCTGCTAGCAGGGTTTGTAAGGACTGTGTGGACTCGCTCTACCTTCTAGCAGAGAAACAAAAAGAAATCAAGTTATATCTTTTTAATCTTTGAAGCATTTTTTGCTGAAACAAATGAGCTAGTTGCAAATGGCCAAAGTCAAAAACTCACCTCAGTTTTTTTTTTTTCTTTAGTATTTTCCTTCCTTTTCTTCCTTTGTAGTGAGCTTGTTTTCGTTTTTGTTTTAAGTGGCAAATTAATGCCCCTCTTTTTATTTCGTCTTTAATGACAAATTAATGCCCTCTGTTACCGTGAAGCATTGTCTACTCTGCATGGAAGCTGAGTGCCTCCCTAGAGTGGTGTTTGAGCATCTGTCCCTGGACAGCACTGAGGCCATGCTGTCACAGCAGAGCTGCCTTGTGCAGTTGCAGATAGAGTCACCTGAGGCAGAAGTGTGTAAGAGAAGTGGACACCAGCTCAGAGCCTGCCAGTGTGTTTCTCTGTTCACTGAGGAACCGTGTGAACACTGAGCTGTGTTTCTAAGACAGTGGGAAAGCTGCCTGGGGCTTTCAACTGTGAGAGTGAAAGGCCTTGGAAATGCTATTTTTTCATCTGGCATCTCATAGCCAGCTCCACCTCCACACCCCAACCCCATCCCGAGAAGTCCTCAGTCCTGACCACACACATGTGCACCAGGGTCTGGAACTCTCAGGCCACCTCACCGCCACCAGGTTACTCTGCTTCATTCTCCTTAAAATGTAAAGTAACAAGCACTGCTCTGCCACCAAGGACAATGAAAAGCTTGTAGTTAAAGTGCATGGATTGGTCTCGACAGTCATATGAAACCTTTGTGTAAAGCTTACACGTGCATAGGTACAAACCTCACCTCCTGCCTGAGCTCCCTAAGAGGCCCGTACTCCCGCTAGGCGGTACTGTGTCCTGGAAATGTAATGTGGACGCTCACAGGTGGTTCCCTTTTTGTATGTGCTTGGGTGTTTCGCCTCATGTATGTCTGTGTACCACGTGCGTGCAGTGCCTGAGGAAGCTAGAGTCGGGCATCAGAGCCCCCGAACTGAAGTCACAGAGGGTTGAGAGCCATCACGTGGTGCCTGGGATTCAAACCTGGGTCTTCTGGAAGAGCAATAGTGCTCTTAAACACCAAGTCATCTCTCCAGCCCCTCATGGGTGATTTTAAATTTTATGACAGCCATATAACAAACATGAAAATACACGAAATGTGCCTTAGTAGTATATCGCATTTAACTTAGTGTATCAAAAATATTGCAACGTGATTGATCAGTGTGGTAAAATTGCTGATGAGACATTTCATATCGTTTCCACACTCCATCCTCCGAAGCTGGGATCTGTTTCGAGCTCACCTGGCATCTTTTTTTGTATCAGTCACTTGTCCGATACTCAGCAGCAACTCAAGGCTTGTTCCCACCACAGCTAATAATGTATTTTATTTAAGCAAAATAGATACTTTCAAACACCTAAATGGTATTAAAATGTCATCTCTCCATGTACCACAGGACCCAAGACTCCATAATAATAAAATCTGCAGATGCCCAAGACCCTTATATGAGACAGAATACTGTTTTCCTAGAGTCTGTTCACACCCCCTGTGTACTTGGATGATAATGATGATAATTATTATTATTACTATTTATTTCACACACACCTGTACCACAGTGTATGTGTGGAGGTCAGAAGACAACTCATGGGAGTTGGTTCTCTTCTTCCACCACTAATTAATTACAGGGATTGAACTCAGGCTGTCAGGCTTGCAGAGCCAAGTGCCTGTACCAGCTGAGCCATCTCACCAATCCTTCCGGCATACTTTGTTTATTCTTTTTGGTTTTTGCTTTTCTCTTTTTTGAGGTAGAGTTTCTCTATGTAACAGCGCTGGCTGTCCTGGAACTCACTCTGTAGACTAGGCTGGCCTCAAACTCACAGAAATCCACCTGCCTCTGCCTCCTGAGTGCACCACCACGCCCAGCTACTCATTCTTTGTTAAAGAGTGTCTTGGGTCAGAGAGTTTGCTCAGCAGTTGAAATCATCCGCATTACATACGCTGTCTCATGAGTTTAAATAATTGGTAAGTAATTGTTACACAGTATTGTTTAAGGGAATGCATTAAGAAAAGAGTACATACTTAGTACAGGAAAATTCTTCAGAATATTTGGCCCACAGATATGGAGGGTTGACTATTAACGGTATGAAGAAATGTGGAGATCCATAAACTAGGTTGCTAGCATAGACGAACAGGCGAAGAGAATTGCAACTAAAGGAAGAGCAGGTGAGGAGGCTGAACCGATGGTGCTGTGTGATATCTGACCGCTGTCCTCGTGTTTGCAGATGAAGTGGGCAGCGGCTCCTGCATCCTGCTCATCCTGCTGTGCGTAGCCACTGTCTTCCTCAGTGTTGGAGGAACTGCACTCTACTGCACTGTGGGCGACATGCAGTCTCCTGTGTGTACAGACTTTGCGGACAACGTGGACTTCTATTACACTAAGCTACTGCAGGGCGTGGCAGGACTTAAACACTGGGTCTACCTCTCCTAGCAGCGATTGGGACAGGCGTGCTGACAGACAGACAGTGATGCAAAGGAGTCACGGAACATTCCCCCTCCCCAGCAGCGGAGACCCAAGGACGGGCAATAGAAACTGCCCAGAGACCTCTGTTAGAGTAATCCACAGAAGGCGAATACTTGCGTAGGCGCTGAGGACAGCAGGAGGGAGCCGTGGAGACCACGCCCCTCTCCTTGCTGCTTGCTTGTGTAGTGAAGCACACTGAGCAGAGTCACACCGGGCTCCCACTGAGGGTTAAAGGACAGTCCCAGTTTACAGTCATTGTCCATAGGCATCGCTTCCCGCCATCACGCAATAAGTTTCTTTGTAAACAGAGAAAGTTACCTTATGGTTTCAACACCGTTTTTTAGTTAATCTTGGGAGCTGTGTAATTTTAGCTTTGGACATTATTCTAGATTCTGTTCTCCATTTGTGAAATGGTTGTGTGGGTGCGTGTTATGTCTGAAGCAGTAACCACAAGTGGATATCCAGTATAGAGTAAAAGATGACCTTTATTCTTTTAATTTGACTACAATGTGCAGGCACAAATCTCTGGAGAAGGCTTACCTGTGAACTAGATAAACTGTAGGAATGTTGGCCTTGAATTGAGAGACTGACAGATCTGAGGCAATGAATTTGACAGGCCTGAAGGCAGGCACCATGACAGAACTCCCAAGTCTCAGATGAGATTTCCCTGTGGCTTCTGTGCTGTCTGGAGCACTGAGTTCTTGTTCCACTGCTCAAGGGAAGCTTGACAAGCACCCGTTCCATTCTGGAACCTAAGCCTAGGAACCCAAGTAAGGGGTAGTTCCTACTGTATGGGTGCTCGTGGAAGGTGAACCCTTACTTTGTTGAATGAAACAGGCCACCTCATGAGACTGAGTAGTCGCAGGCTATACCCTCAGGGGTGTGGACTATGTGTTCCTATCATGGATCACTGTGGACCCAGTCATGGGGTCAGGAAGCAGATATTCAATCATACCTTAAGTAGACAAGTTTAAATACCTTGTTTTGCTTAAATCTGTCATTAGGTGGCCTTTCCTTATTTACGGTACAGTGATCTAATGTTTAGGAAGCCTCATTTGACTTTTTATATTCTAGGCAATGTCTTTTTTTAAAAATCATGAATTATAGTTTTTTAGCAAGTGATCTTTATGTTCCTCTTTTCCTGTTAGAATCATTTGGAAGGAAATGGGAGAAATTGCTTTGTAGTTGTTACTGGCTGGCACAGTACCTTTCTTTGTGTTTCTGCTTATTTATTTGGAACTTGTGAATTTAAGGGCTTTTGTATGAGTTGAGAGTGCGTTGCTGAGCATGTATTTGGTCATCCCACCGCTACCTATTTAATTAGATACTTAGTGTTTTGATTTTGTACTATTTCAGCTCCATATGTTTTAGGCTTATTTTTAAATTGACATTTTTATTTTTACTTACAACACTGTGTGGCTTATCTCTTACCATGTCACCGTAAATTGTAATATTTTCAATGGTTATAGATCAGAGTTATTTATTTAGAAGTATACAGAATACTGAAATTTAGATTCCTTATGCCTAAGGCTGATTTTATTAGAAGATTATTTTAATGCCCTATTATAAATTTGAAGACCTTGTATTCACATCCTGTGTAAAATGGGTCCCATCATCAGGGTACTTCTGCCAGAGGCTCTGTGGAAGGCGCTAGTGAGGTTGCCTATGTGGGCCTCCTCATGATACACAGACATGTTCCATTTTCGTGATTTCTAGCTGCTGGGATTTGGTGACCCCCGTTTCTGCCGATTTTACATCAAAAAAAGTTAAAATCTTCACCGTTTACCTCTCTTGGGTCACTCAGAGTCTTGTGTGATCTCTGGTGTCATATTCGCCTCTCAGCCACTTTTTTGAAACCTGAGGTTTCCTGGGAGCCTTCAGAGAAGGAAAGGCCTAAACTGACACCTCACTAACCAGGGGCCCAGGGTGTGTCAGAGGAACCCGGTGCTCACCACTTCAGGGGCCACAGAGTGATCAGGAGTAGGCTGACCTCTTGACTTAAAGTGGGCATGAACTCTCACCTAGAAAACCCAGGACTCATTTTAAAATGTAATAGCCATTTACTGCATGAATTGGAGTGTCCCACCTGGAGATGAGAGGATGTTAGTTACCCCACGCATAAAGAATTCATCCAGCATACTGAAATGTATTTCTCCTCTCATTCGGAAGTAATGACAACTATTTATAACTAGCCTTCTTAAGAACTGTGTCTGAGGGTGTCAAATCAAGCTTGTAATTTAAAATCTATACCAACAAAATGTCTCAGAGGATTTATTTGAACCCTTGGTGTTAAAGGAACTGCTTGAAAACAAAATATAATGTCAAGAGTTGATCCAGCCCCTGAAGGAGATGCCATCTATTTTGGGGAAGTCTTTTTTTTAATTGCATTTACATATTTATTTTGGGAAGAGTCCATGAGTACCACACTGTACACTTCCAGGAGTCACGCTCTCCTTCCGTCATCAGGGTCCAGAGGTTGATAGTCAGGCCATCCAGTTGACGGTCAGCACCTTTCCACACTGAGCCATCTTATCTATTGTGAGGATGTCTTACTAAGTCTGTGATAACGGCTTCTCAGCTTCTAAAATACCTCATGCATCTGCCTGTCTCTGCCAAACTCTGCCCTCAAGTGCATCCTTTTAGACTTGAACATCAAGTCTGAAGTCTTATTTTATCCAGATGTGAATTGGGGTGTGAGATGTGGTGAGGATCTGAAGTCAGAAGGTCAAACTTATTTTGCAAGAGCAGAAGTGATTTGGGTCTTCTGAAAGACAGGGCAACATGGCCTGAGGGGAACAGGATGAAGGACCAGGAGGAGTTGAGCAGAAGGAACATGGAGGACAAAGAAGTCCTCTGGCTGCTGACCTCCTGTCTTTACACTGGCCTTTGTGGTCCCCATCCACAGACAGGTTTTTACTTTTCTTTATTATTTTATTTAATATCTTTATTATAAAAGATAATTTCTTTATTATTTTTATATTAACAAGCATAATAATATGCATATTATTAATTATGCATAATGGATTTCATGTGACATTTGCATACATGTTGGTAAGCCTTTTAAGCGTCTTCATTTCCTGGTACACTCTTGTTCCCTCCACTGACCTCCTTCAAGAGGCTGGGCTTTCAACCTGCTGCTAGCAGTAGCCCTGGGTAATGCTCTCATTTCTGTGGGCACCGTTGATCTGAACTTGGTCTTTATGTGGTGTTTGTAGAACTTTAACATTTATTCATTCCATACCTAGACTAGCCACCACACTTTCTGCTTCTTTTTGTTTTTTAAACAAGTTTATTTATTGAAAGAATCTGAAAAATAGTAATAAGGCCTTCATTAACAATTAACAAATTTTAAGATACTAATATGAAACATTAGGAATTTATGTGATAACTCCATGTGTTCTAGATCAGTCTGGTAGCAGCTTGCTTCTAGACATGTCAACACTTGCTTTTTAGATGCGTGACCCATGCTGCAGACCTTGCTCTCCTCTGGATCACAGCAGAGGCCTACTGTGCTCACAATCACAGATGAACAGCACAGCTCTTGGGGACAAGCTACCACAGCTTAACAGCACTGAAGCCAGACCACGTAGGGCTTCATAGGTGCTGATGTGTGTCAACAAGGGCCCAGTAGGTCCTGACTTTTAACAGCAGAAGAAAGCTCAGTGTGGTCAGCCCTGTAGCAGCTGGCAAACAATTTTGAGCAGCATGACTACCCTGGAAGCCAGTTGAAGAACGGGCAGCCCCCCTTCCTACTCCCGACACAGAGATGAATACAAAACTGAAAGCAGAGGTGCCTTGGCTGACCACTGATCCACAAAGGCTTCAGGGCCTGTGTGGCTCCCCTGTGTGCTAGTTATGCTACATACACGACTGCACACAGGGAGATACGGAGATATCTGCTCAGATGCAAACCTTGGACTCTTGTGGAAGGAGGGCAGGCCCACAGGCCTGATATCAAGAGAGAGTTGGTCTCAAAACCTTTGTGGCCACTGTGTAAGGGAAGAGCAGAAGCACAGAGCCCTGTCCTGACTGTCTGCGTTGGGCTGCACACAGTGTAAACACTAGACAACACGCAGTCCCCTCTAAATCTTCAGAAAGTGTGTACAAGAAAATATGTACATAATCACTTCAGAAAGTTTAAAATAACCTCTTAAAAAGTGTACACAGGATTTAAAACGTCTCAGGAATTGCTGCCCTACTATGAGGAATGTGATGTTGCCGATGGCTGTGCAAGCTGTTGCCTCTGTCTTCTCTGGAATGGACTCAGAGGCACATAGCCATGACACGCCTTGCCAACCCATGGCAAAGCTGCCAGGTGACCCCAAGAGTTGCAGAGGGGAAAGGTACAGGCCCTGGGGGAAAGCACTGCAGCTAAAGGAAGATTTCTGGCTGAGACATTTATTCCAATATCAAAGGGAAGATCTCTTCATTTTGACCCCCACAGAATTTCAACAGACTGATTTATGGGAATTCCTGACCTGGAGATGTGTGCAGAACTTTGTACAGTGGTGTTGGCTGCCCTCTGTACCCTGACACACATCCAGTTGCCTGCAGTGTCAGCACTATGAAAGAGGCCCACCCAGCTTAAAGAACTTGTGTCAGGTATGGGGAATGTAATTTGCAAAAAAGGAACTGAAGACTAGAAACTAGATTAACAAGGGGCTACCTAGGGAGATGGGAACTCCAGTTCATTTTTTCCTGTCATGTGTCATAAACTGTTAGGAATAAGGGAAATGCACAGCAGCTGACAGGAAAGTCAACAGCAATCTTTACTGCCAGCCAAAGGTCTGGTGTTTACTAGCCAGCCGTTACTGCTTCGCACCTGCCGTGAGCACTTCTGGAGTTCGTAGCAGGCAGGCTTCCAGCAGCGAAAATAAGCACAGCAAAAACTTTCTGTTCAAAACTGAAGCTCCAGGGCTGGGCGTAGCTCAGAAGTAGAGTGTTTACCTCTTGGGGATGAGACCCTGGGCTCAATACTCAGTGTCACAAAAGAAAAAAGTCTTACTGGCCCTGAATTAAAAACCACCTCACAAGGAAAACCAGTGCCAGAGGCTGTTGCCAGTCAACCTGTCAATCATTTAAGAAAAAAATGCCCATCCCACACAATGCTCGTTTAAAAAGAGTGCTGCTGGTGCTTTTTACGACACCAGTATCACTCTGGTAGCAAAACAAGATCAAAGACAGGAAACTAAGGACATTAGTGAACTTAGACACCAAAATCTTTTGTAGAAAATAACTGATGGGAGAAGGTTCCAGAGGCAGGGAGAGCTCAGCTGATAAAGCGCTTGCCTGGCAAGTACAAAGAGCTCAGTTTGATCTCCAGAACCAACAAAAATACGCGCTTATGGGCTGGAGAGATGGCTCAGTGGTTAAGAGCACTGGCTGCTCTTCCAGAGGACCCGGGTTCAATTCCCAGCACCCACGTGACAACTCACAACTATCTAAACTCCAGTTCCAGGGAATCGAACTCCCTCAAAGACATACATGTAGGCAAAAAACAACAAAGCACATAAAATTAAAACAAAATTTTTTTTTTTTTTTTAATGTGCTCTTGTAATCCCAGCTCTAGGGAAGCGGAGATAGGAGAATCCCGAGGTCTCCTGGCCAAGCAGCCTAATTGGTGAGTTCCAGACCAACCAGAGACTCAGTCTCAAAGAAGGTGGACTGTGTTCCTGAAGGTGACAACACCCCAGGACTACCATGGATGTGACAGACTCAGTTCAGATCAAAATTGCAGCAGTTTTTAGAAATTGACCATTTAAAATGTGTGAGATGAAAATGACCTAGAAGATAGTGGAATTGTCAGAACAGAGTTGGAGGGCCCTTGCTCCTGTTTTCAAGGCTTCATCCTACAGTTATCGAACTGGTATCCAGGGAGACCTATACAAAGAGCCATGTTCAAGTAATCCACAAGGGAGCCTGGCCAACTTGGTCAGGAAAGAGGAACCCATTCAACAATAATGCTGGCAGAATTGCAAGTACAATTAGGGAAAATTAACAAACAACTAAAATCTGAAGTGAATAAGTTTTAAGTCTAAAACTAAAACTACAGGGCAACTAGAAGTCAGGATCAGCATTGTCACTTTCACATAAAAAGATATTCCCTGGAGCACAGAGTGTGCAAACTATAAAAGGGAAACTCGTCATTGGACTTTTTGAGTGTGCTTTTCATATAATGTGGTTAGGAAAATTAGACGCAAGTACTCAAATGGAAGAAAATACAATATTTTTTGACATTTTGTGGGCTGGGCAATACATCCCTGCTGGTGTATATGGAGTCCAGAGGACAAGTTTTGAGAGTCCTTTCCTTCCACCATGTGAGTCCTGGGATCAAACTCAGGTCATCAGGCTTGGCAGCAAGGGCCTCACAATGAATCTGTCAAAGACCTTATAAATTTAGAATATGTAAAAAGGCTCATATAACTCAGGATTATGACAGCTTCAAAGTACCTTCATAAGAGAGAATGTATGAATGGCCAATGAGTACACGAAAAGATGCTGAGTGTCATTAGTCACCAAGAAAATGCAAATCGGTGAGCTCCCACTGCACACTTAGAATGTGCACAGATGGACAGCACAACGTTAGTTGGTTCAGCATAAGGAATTCAGTGTACCGGTGGTAGAACAGAGGCGGAATGATGGTCAACTCACTGGGTGTAGAAAAGCACTGAGCATCCTTTTGTGACTAGAACTCAGATTAAATGAAGACTAAGAAGAGTAGTAGGGTCCCTGAAGGGTTATGAGGACAGGTGAGCCAAGGAAATTTCTACTGTCCTTCAGGTGACTTACTCTGTTCCACCACTGTGGCTTAATTAGAAAAACCAAAAGCTTTGGTGTCTTCCAAATACCTCAAATGTGCAAGACCTGGATACCCACTAGCTGCTAACAGGATGTTCAATAAACTCATTAGTTCCAAATGTCCCACCCCAGTCCTGACTCTGTTTAATGTTTATAGATCCCCCTAGTTCCTCCTTGAATACTGAGCCGTTGACTTAGCTCTCAGGAGGCTGAGGCAAGAGGATGGCAAAACTGGGCTAGCATGGGTTACAATAGAGACCCTGAGGTGTTTTTAAGTTTTTGATTTTTTTTTTGTTTGGTTTTTGGTTTTTGGTTTTAATTTTACATGAGGCAGCAGTTCCCATTCCAAACCCCAATCTAATAATAGTCTGTAAGGACAACACAGTGTCCCTCTGGACGGAAGGTATTGATCAAAAGTGAGGTTTCATCATTTCATTGCTTAATTGATTTGGATCAAAGGTCAGGAAGGAGATGTGCACTTAAGCAGCCGAAGTGCTTACATCATCCGATCACCATGAGAATGATGGAGCCAAAGTGCTGGCTCTCACTTTCCAAGTGCTTGACCTGGGGTTGACAATCTATAAACCAAGCAAGAAAAACACCCTGGGCTTCCAAGGCTAGAATAGGTCCACAAGGGGCTATGCAAGAAGGTAATCCTTTTCCTTTCTTGTAAAATAATTTCTCTACTTATTTCTGAATGGCTTGGAATGCGTTGTAATGCAGACTGGCCCCAAACTCAGAATCCTCCTGTCTCAGCTTTCCAGGGAATTGTGTGCTCTGCTCTGCTTGCTTGCTTGCTTGCTTGCTTGCTTGCTTGCTCCCGCCTTTGGATGTGTTATTGCTTAAATGAAAATTGGCCTAGGAATAGCAGTCTCACCAGCCACAGAGAAGAGGCTGTCTGGTATAAGCTAGTTTGGTATAGCATAAATCCTGAAGAAAGGAAGCAGCCTCGGGCTGGAATCTCAATAGCAAATGATCTCTATAGGATTTCTACCACCACTTTAGAGTTTAAACCCTCTCGATTCTCTGACCATCTAATGTAATCTGCTTTCCTTCGCTGAGAAGAAACAACTTGGGCGGCTTCATTTGCTGGGTGAAGGTGGAGTATGGGATGGGAATTTTCTAAAGCCACTTGGAGGTGAGAACTAGAAGCTGAAAACTGATCCATACATTTTCAAATCCTCTACTGTGCCCATGGGCCACCTCCAAGAGCCAGCAGCAAATAGTCCCTTCTCTGGAAAGCTTGGGGCTTTGTGTAAACTAATCCTGCAACCCTAGCTACAGTTGGTTAGATGGGAGGGTGCCTTGGGGTGATGAAGTCCTTGGGCTTACATACTAGGGAGCCTGGTGACCTGGGTGAAGATGGGTTTAGAAAGGTGTATCACAAAGGGAATCTGACCACGTGAGCCCAACTTACAGGCTCTTGGTCTAGCTCTGGCAACAGAAGGAGCAGGTGCCGGGCAGTGGCAGGATGGAGCCAAAGGAACCAGGGACAGCAGAGCTGTCAGGGCAGACATCCCCAAGGTCTTCCCTCGAAGATCACAAAGATGGTGAAGGTGCTGGCCACACAAGCCTGGTAACCCGAGTTCAGTCCTGAAATGTGAGAGGACCCCACCGACCTCCATGTGCGGGTCCTGTCATGTGCACACATAAATGATAAACATGGTTTTTTTCAGTCTTTCTTGAAATTTATTTATTTTATGCGTGTGAGTGTTTTGTCTGTATGTCTGTGCATCAATGCATACAGTTCCTACTGCATGTCAGGACAGGCCGGAAGAGGGCGTCAGATCCATGTGGGTGCTGGGAATTGAACCTGGACCTTCTAGAGGAACAGCCAGTACTTTTAACTGCTAAGCCATCATTCCATCTCCTACACAATAAAAAAAAAAAAAAAAAAAAAAAAAAAAAAGTAAAGGGTCACCAAGGTGTAACCAAACAGCATTCTAATTACAGAAGGCTAGAGCAAGGTGACTGCCTGTGCTCCTTACACACAGTCCCCTGAGAAAGAGTCTGTTGTTCCCTGTAAACTGAAGCCAAACTGCTCAGCAGTTTCTTGTGTAAACATTGCCTGCCTCTTTAGAATCACGTTATTATACAGATGCTGGGCAGTACAAACACTGTCCAGTTGGCTCTGTTTGTGTCCAGAACAAAGCTGTGATCCAAGGACTGTCCCTGACCTATTTAAGATCAGAAGCAACAGAAAAGTGGAAGATTTCTCACTTCTGGTTGTGAAATTGAAATAGCCCCAGGAAGCTGAGATTACAGCACTGTGGGAGACCCTGTGCTTAGCCTCTTACCTTGCCCAAGGCCAAGGACTCCCTGCCTATTACCAAGAATATAGTCAGGCCAAAGAGAGTAAAGGTACCATGGAGTCTGACAAGTCACCTCCTGAGGCATGACCTCTGAGATTATCTTCAGCCTACATGTATACACACACACAGACACACACACACACACACACACACACACACACA